GCCACAACAGAATTGTAAGAATTCTGAGACAAATAGTGCAGCCTACTCTTCCAGGAGAAGAAGGCAAGGGTGATGGCTGACAGTTTGCAATAACTTTTCTTCTGGCTGGTGACTGCAAACAGAAAATTTTATTATACATTCTATGTCTCCTCATCAATATAGGACATTGAAAAAAGTTACAGTTACCTGGAATGATGCTAGTGGAGTAACACTGGCTGTGGCTGGAGTGACTCTATACTGTGTAGAAGTCACCAGGACTCTTACTGACATGAGTAATGGCTTGAGTAGCTTCAGTAGGTCTACACGGTGTACTCCTAGGTGTTGATGCACTGGCAAAGGTTGATTCCCGGTCATGAGGAGCCACAGCTGCAAACCAGAACCAAAACATTGAGAAAAGCTTGACAGAATTTGAAAGTAAGGTAAAATTAGTTGTTCAAAACAATCAGAGTTAAAAGTTTATTGAAAGAGGACTAAATACAATATAATTAATGTCATGGCTTATCTAATATGCCCCACACAAATTATGATTATGACATTAAAGATTACAACTCCAAGGACCATAACAAGCACGCTGCATTGTATATGATGATGCGAAATAACACATATGTAAATTGAAGGGGACCCAGCGGGCTGAATTTATTGTCTTCTTCAGAGACTGTAGAGACTGTAGATTAAAATATTTTTATGTAGGGAACTTCAAGTACTTGAGTAGAAACCATCTCAAGAAAAAACATACTCCGTAACTTAAACCGTTCTAGGGTTATAGTAGGTTTAAACGTTTTTGAAATGCTCACCCCAAAACTCCAAGCGCTTTAAACTTTGTGCTGTGGGGTTGGGGTGCAAAAAATTATTATAACTATTGAACGCTTTCTTGAATTTCAACATCTTTCTTTAAATTTAATACTGGTCCATTTTACTGTCCCAGAATTTCCTACACTCTTGCAGAGAGCTTTATAGAGGAAAGTGTTCTACAATACACTTACCACAGAAACACACTAACCTCTTTGTGTCAGATGGAAAGTGGAAAACGGTCTTGCAATCACCTGATACAGCAAAAGCACGCCACCCTGGCAAAGAACACTTTATCTTCTTCATTTCCATGGTCAAAACGCGACGCTGCATTATAAATAATATTCGAAATAACGAAGTAAACAATCCAGAATGAAAGCAGAAGCATTCAAAGGAATGGTGCATGTTGACACACTGCAGCCAGCCATCCCCAGAATCCCCAAAAAATTATTATGGTTCGTACTTATAATTAGAATGAACTGACATTGAACAGCGATGAAAAGTATCCACCAAACGTGCTTAGATATGAATAACAGTGACGTTTAACTCGCCGGCTGGGTTACCAAACCAGAAAAAACAGGGTTTTACGCCCCTAATTTGCAGTTCCAAAGGTGGCAAGATCCCAGGCCGGCTGTGGTGGTGGGGGGACGGCTAGCGACCGGAAACAGCCATTGCAGTTGGCTGGGGTTGAGAGAGAGAGAATCAAAGTTTTGTGGCCAATGGCGTCGCCAACGGAAGGCCAGAATGGGCGGGTGTGTTTAAAAATGCCTGGCGCTGGTCCCTCTTCTCAGCTCACAGAGTGAGGGTGGGATTAGTCCTTAGGAGGGCTGGCAGGGCTTGCGCCAGCAGGAGCGGACGACGGAGAAGGTCGTTGTACGAGGCCGCAGCGGCGTCCAACTCAGCGTCAAAGTCGGCGATCGCGGTGTGGAACGCGACCCGGTCCACGAAGAGACAGTCGACGAGCAGATGGGCCGCGTCGGCTTCATCGGCGCCGCACTGGCAGTCGGGATACTGAAGTCCCGCCACCTTGTGAAGATGGGCGGGCGTGCGGGCGTGGCCTACGCGAAGGCGGACGGCAGTCGTTATGCCCTTCCGCGGAGCGTTGAGGGTGCGAAACCAGGTTCGCCGTGAAGGCACCGGCGTAATGTCGAAGAGTTGGCGACCTTTGGGGGAGGAGGCCCAAAAAGCGGCCCAAGCCGCGTCGTGCGCGTCTCGCTGCGCCGCGTAGAAAACGCTGGGCGGCAGGGAGAGGAGCCGGACCTCATCCAGTCCGCGGCCGGCGTTCGCGGCCACATCGGCGTCTTCGTTGGCTTGGATGCCGACGTGGGCGGGGACCCAGTGCAGAGAGGCCCAGCGGTCTTCGGCGAGGAGGTCCCGGATGACGCGCCGGATGTCAACTATGACCGCGGGGGTGGTAGCGGTAGGGGTGTGCGAGCGCACGGCGGCGAGCACCGACTGGCTGTCTGAGACGACGATGGCAATACGGCGCGCAGGCCAAGGAGGCAAGAGCGTTCAAACAAGAACAATATATAGTCCGACCAGCCAAAGGTGACGCCTGACGCCTGAGACGACCGTTACCGTTCCGACCGTTACGGGACGGGAGCGCCTGTTGCAAAACAAAATACACTGTAAAAAAAAATGTTGTATGGAAACGACAAATTTCTTGTTAATTTTTTTGATGACCAGCATTGTAGGTAAACAGGCATGCCATCAATACTTTATCGTTTCAAAACAAACAACTCATTTGGGTACGACAAAATAACTACAACCCAGTCATCAAACAAAATGTCGTAACTGAACAGGGAAGTTGTACAGGAACAACATAAACTATTTTCAAAACAAACAGCTCGTTTGGATACGGAAAAAAAATTAAGACCTAGTCATCAAACAAAATGTCGTTACAGAACGAGAAAGTTGTATGGGAACAACATAAATTGTTTTCAAACAACCATTTTGTTTTCGAACAACTATTCTTGTTTTCAAACGGCACCACCATAATTTTTAGTTGAAGTGAGATTCTAGTTCACCATCATATTAGTTAAACTTTTAAGTTTATTGTTTTACTTAGAATTTCAGGTATTTAGATTTGTTTATTTTATGATACATCATGTAGTACCAGATAAACAAGATGTTATCGATAAAGCATCAAATTTTATGTTCAAGCAAAAAAGTCAATCAGGAAACGAGCCTTTTGCATTTAAACGGCATTCCTTGTTTCAAAACAGAACTACTCATACAGAGACAAGTCTTTTTTGTTACGAGATTGTCCATCAGGAAACAAACTTTCTTGTATTGAAACGACATCTTAACATTACAAGATGTTTGTGTAGGGATGGTTAATTTCTCGTTGCAAATTTTAATCGTTCTTAATGAAAACAAATAATGTTGTTCTAGAACGGACAAGTTGTAAGAAAGTTTGTCGTATCCATACAAGAATTTTTAACAGTGTATAAATTGTACATGATGTGGAAATAATCTATCTAGAACGTTGAAATGATCGAATGGAGCTACGAAATAAAGTTTAACAATGTTTTCTTTCGATATGAATGAAATACATACGGTGAAAGACAAACATTGCATTCATTCTTTTTAACTGTGAAGTTTTTCCAGTTCTTGGTGTCACTAGATTGAGAGATAGGTTTGCAACCGTCTAAAACTAAAAAATATAATTATTTAAACCATAATTCTCAATCAATTTAACGACGAAGCTTATAAGGTCTTGCCTTTCGCTAGTTCTAAAGGTCCGTAGTACTTCTGCTGCGCTGCGGCTGCAAATAACGATAGCGCCTTGTTCGGTTTTGTTTCGTTAGTGAGTGGTGAGTGTGAGTGCGTCTAGTTTTGGTGTTTTGGTCAGGACGACTTTATTTTTAGCAATGTGTTTAAATTGCCCTGTGACATGCATTCCTCTAGTGACCATAGGATCTGTCTGCCACTAGATTGCTGTCTTCGCTGTTCCTCGACCGTGTATAATGTATAAAATAACTTTGTTTGAACCGGCAAGAAGTTTGCCCTAACCCTATCTGTCTGATCTCATAATATGTATTTACTCTGCTCACATCACAAAATTCAGCCTTAAGTGTCAATTAATTTTAATCTATTTGTATGTAAATGCGTTTTTTTAAAAGCCATATTAATAGGCTACCAGATGTTTTAATGCAGAGTGGATTGAGACAAATCTTTCTTTTTTCTTCATTCAAAAAAGATTGTCAATTAATAGTGATGCCCGTTTGAAAACAAGGAAAGTTGTTTGAAAACAATTTATGTTGTTCCTACAGAACTTTCTCGCTCTGTTATGACATTTTATCTGATGACTTGGTCGTAGTTCCTTTACCGTATCCGAACGAGTTGTCCGTTTTGAAACTAGTTTATGTTGTTGCTGAACAACTTCTCCATTCAGTAACGACATTTTGTTTGATGACTAGGCCGTAGTTACTTTGTTGTACCCCAACGAGTTGTTTGTTTTGAAACGAGAAAGTGTTGATGACCTGCTCGTTTCCCTACGATGGTGTGCAGACACTTTTTGACCGTTTATCTTCAAATAAAGAAGTTGCAAACATTACTGCATCTTCCATATCAGACTTCCAGAACACAGTTCCCCTGCTACCAGATTTCGAAAGCCAGTCTCCTCAGTCCACCGAATGAAATCAACAGGCATATCACTATCTATTTTTCTCTTGTAACTTCCAAATTCTCAGAAATGTTGAGGTACTAAAATGTGCCCATTTTTCTCTTTTCTTTAGATTGCCAATCTACTTTCTTCTCAGCTGGATTTAGCCAGAACAGTGTGTTCAGAAACCCCCTTTGCCACCATTCTTCTACAAAGACTGCTCATTTTAGAAAGAATATACTATGCATTTCGTCATAAATATCACAACAAGGACAAAGTTCGTCGATGCAAGTTAAATTTGGGCTAAGCACTAAGAATGTAACCTCTTACAATCTTTAACTGTTCCATCAGGTCCGATCATTATCTGTCATTCCTGAGGAGGATCGTTGCCGAGACTGTACCATTGTTCAACTTGAAAGGGCCAGCTCAGCTCCCAATGCATTGTTGGAGATGGGTGTTCGTACTGGTCTCACTCTCATGTTTGCCCTAATTCAACAGAGTTGGCAGTTCACCATTCCATCTGGTATGAAATGAGGAAACAAATTTAACTAGAAGAAAAATAAGCTTCCTTTATTTACCTTGCAGACACTCATTTAATGTTTTCTACCTTCACTTTCAGAGGGCCCGAATCTTAGTCATCAAGTACTCCAAACAGCATCAGATGTTGTGAGAAGTCT